TAAGTAGTAGTCAGCAAATGAAAAACAATACCCAAACCTCGCGAAATTTGCCAAAATTTATCTTTCCTCTCCCGGGAGTAGCGTCTATAGTGAGAGTTTGTTTTCGGAAGCAGGGATTATTTACGATGAAATGCGTAATCGGTTACTACCGACAAATGCTGAAAAACTGGTTTTCATCCATCACAACTAACCGCTTATTAATTTTACTTATTGACATACTTTAATTTGATAATAAAAAGAAGTTTTGATTAAAGTGATGTGTTTTATTTCATGATTTGGCACTATTAGGCATTCGGCCGAATTTTTTATGAAACTTTTTTCTTAATATAAGAGTTGTTAAAAAACTTGATATTCAAAAAATCATGCTCATGCAATAAAAAACATCGACGTTATAATTTTTCCATTGTTTATACATATGGGTGATTCCATAACAGATTTACAGTCGATATTGGGAAATTCGATGAGATATTTTTTTCATGCTCTTTATCGAAAATAAATCGACACGTATTTTTTTATATGGCTCAGAAAATTTTTTTGACAAAGTTATGATTTTTTGAATTTTTGATGAACTGTCCTTTTTTTGATAACAGTCGCGTTTTCCAGCCCCAATAACTCGATAACCGTACGTCGCAGAAAAAAAATGTATAGGAAGTAAAAATTTCATCCTTCCTTCTTCTTTGCAAAACTTTCGTGAAATAATTTTTTTAAACAATTTTTCACCACAAAAAGTTCAAATGTTTACAACAAATTAATTTTTCTCCAATTTGGACAATTTTGATTTTTTTTTTTATCACAATAAATCCTTCAAATTCTTCTGATGAACATACTAAAATTTCAGAATGGTATCAAAATTAGTTTTTGAGTTATAGAATATTCAAGATCATCATGCACGGTCCGCGCGCTCGGTCTCAGGGTGTGCGCCGACCAACGACTCTAACGAGCGTCAATTCGTTTCGCGCGCGCATAGTAAGGGTCAATAAAATGAATTTTTAATGCTATTTAAACGTGTCGATTTATTTTCGATAAAGAGCATGAAAAAAAATATCTCATCGAATTTCCCAATATCGACTGTAAATCTGATATGGAATCACCCATATATATAAATTTCGATTTTTCCTATGCACTATGGTTTTTTTTTTCGACTTTTTTGGCATAAACTCTAATTTTAAACCTATTGAATCGAAATTTGGTTTGAATACATTTTGTAAGCTCCCAAGATGAACTACCAAGTTTCAAATAATTTGGGCCACTATTTCATATAGCTGCCATATAACCGATCTGGCCGATATGCCCCAACTTTTTATTTTTATCAAGCTATTGCTTTGAAATTTGGTTTGTATACATTTTTGAAGCTCCCAAGATGACCTACCAAGTTTCAAATAATTTGGAGCACTATTTCATATAGCTGCCATATAACCGATCTGACCGACATACAAAAAAGCTCCATTAAATATTTTTATTTCTTATTTTCTTTATATTGTGTTTAATAAAAAAAAACCAATTATCTAAGATCACATTTTAGTATTCATCTCCATTATTAGTGCTTCAATCTGAAAGTAAAGATACATTTTACCAAATTTGAAATAAGTTTGGTTATGTTACTTGCTATAGAAGTTACTCAATTTTCTTTATGATTTTTTCGAAAACGTGTGAATTCGGACATAAATGGTAAGTTTCTCATTAATCTGCACACTTTGGTTAATAGTTTCTCATTTACAACTTTTTGCAACACTTTGCCATGCAAAAGTACTGATCCACGAAACACAACTACACTTGTTAAGCTCGTTCTAAAAATACACATAAACAAAACACGGTACAATTGGAAAAAAACACATAACAACGACACAAACATTGGTAAACTTTAGTTTTGGATACCTGGACAATCGTTTTCCATATTTATTCACTTATTTTTTTCGTAAACTTTTGCCACAACAAACGATCAAAGTTGCACAATTTTTCGCGCCAATTTCATACAAAACAGGTGGTACATAATTAGCTGACTTTAACAACTCGCCAGCAGAACAGTGTTGCTCTATATATTAAAGTTACATATTTTTTTATCTGTCTAGGGTGTTTAAAAATTAAAAATAAAAAAAAATTGTAAGATACAAAAAAAAAAAAAATTGACTTTATGCCAAAAAAAACGCGAAAAAAACCATAGTGCAATGGCAGCTATATGATTTATCAGTTATCAGATTTTGATAAAATTTAATCCGAAATTCAATAGTAGTTAGAAAACGACATCTGGAAGAAATCAAGTCGATCTGATCGAAACCAACGGCGTTAGAATTTTGTATTTTAATTTCTTGTATGGGAACTATCCTATATAGTCGCCCGATCCGGCCCGTTCCAACGTATACACTGCGTGAAATAACTACACAACTTTTGGGAAAGTTTCAGCAAGATAGCTTTAAAATTGAGAGACTAGTTTGGGCAGAAACGGACAGGAGGACAGACGGACAGACGTACAGACAAATTTGGATTCAGATCGTAATGCTGATCAAGAATATATATACTTTATGGGGTCGGAGGTGTCTCCTTCACTGCGTTGCAAACTTCTGACTGAAATTATAAAAGGGTATCTGCAAGGGAATAAAAATGAGAATAAATCCGTAAAATGATTTGTCGTTACATTATATCAGATTTACAATTTTTGACATTTTGAAAAATTTGCCGCCCCCCAAGCTGTGCCGCCCTAGGCCCGGGCCTCACAGGCCTAGGCGGTAATCCATCACTGACAATTGCCTTGCATTATATAACAATGCACACACCTCAGCTTAAGTGTTTAGTAGCCATTCAAGTGTCAACGATTCAAACAAAGTCTGCGAACGTTAAATGGCGACATGTTCCGGGTCAGGAGAATATCGTATCCCGAGGATGCGCAGCAGCAGATCTTCAAAACATAATCTGGTTCAACGGGCCAACATTTCTTTGATTTAATAAATACTTGTGACCACAGGAAAAATTTACAGCCGACTGGATGGCGCACTAGAATTGCGTAAAGTATCAACTTTTAAATTTAGCGATTGTGAAATCGGGGGAACCATAATTGATCAACTCATCAGCAGAACCTCTTCACATCTTCGAATTCTACGGATCGTAGCATTCATATTTCGAGTTTTGCATGGCGTTTCTGCCAGTAGACAGCTTATTGGCTCACAACCCATCAAGCTAGCGAAATTCAAGGGGCATTTCTATATATCATCTCCACAATTCAAAGCCAAAGTTTTGCAAAGGATCCAGTTGACTTATAATCAAAATCTTCGAAAATTACCTCCGTATGTAGCTGACATTGGAAATCGAACTGTAGCAGTGATCCGAGTCGGTGGCCGTTTAGCAAACGCTCTGATTCCTATCGATGTGAAATTCCCATTGCTTGTTCCTACTGATCACCCGTCCACCTATAAGTACTTGGAATACCTTCACAAAATCCATGCGGTCCTCAAAGCGCTGATTGGAATTTTAAGGCTTAAAATATGAATCGTAAACGTTCGTCGCAACGCCGCCAAGGTAGTCAAAAATTGTGTTCACTTTTTCCATTACAAGACCAGTATAATGCAAAAATTCTGGGATCCTTGCCAGCCGAAAGGTTATGTGGTTATTTTTTACCTCATTTTGAGTATGGTTCCATATAAGATGTATATGGCCGTATTTATCTGCTTCGCTGCCAAAGCAGTGCACGTTAAACTTGTATCAGACCTCACCACTAATACTTTTGTTTCATGTTTAAAGCGCTTCGTTGGACGCAGAGGACTTCCAGAGAGCATTTGGTGCGACAAAGCAACTGATTTTGTTGGTGCTCAATCCCAACTCAACGAATTTAGAAAGCAACAGCTCTTCAACACCTCAAGACGTACACCTCTTCAACGGGCGTCTTGTTTCATTTCATCCCTCCACGTGCGCCGCTCTTCGGCGGGCTCTGGGAAGCGGCGGTGAAGTCGATGTAACATTTAATGCACGTCTTCGTGCTTGAAGTATGGAGTCTTTGAAAACGTTCTGGCGTGGAGTTGTGCACAAGGCAACCGGGCGTTGAATCTGCTAGGCGCCAGGCAGACTATATCCAGATCAACTCCTGCTGTGGATCGAATAAGAATTTTCAGGAAGGACTTTGTCAGACCGGCTGGCGGTACACTTTTGCTTAGCCCCGATAGAAGGACCCACCTAACATCAGAGCTCGCAAATAACAGTCGACCGTTTCTCGTTGTCTGCTAATAACAGTCTTCTCCTGACCCTTTACGAAAAGTCTCAGAGAACGACCGATTTATGGGTTCGTGAATGGGATCGGTTACGCTCAGACCGAAACCGTTTTTTTCTATTCGGTTTTGTTCTGGTTACTCCAGGACCGTTTTGTCGTTTTCAGTGAAGCAAAAGGTCTTTTCAATATGTATTGGTATACAGTGCAGTATAGACAAGCAAATCGTTAAACATCGGTTTTGCGGATGAAATATATTAATCGTCTTCGTGAATTGAACTTGTGTGTGTAAATGCGAAGACCGTTTACGTTGAGTTTTTCAGTCAATTGGTCTTTTGGTGACTCTCATTGTGCGAGCGTTTCTCGATCTGTTCCTTACGCACTGCTCATTGAAAGACCGAAATACAAAGAGCTCAACGAAAAGAGCTCAACAGAAAACACAAATGATAACAGCAAGGGTCTCTTGCTCAGAGCGAGAGCGAGACAGTATGAACTTTTTCGGTAGTGGTCGCACCGAGAGCACTACATGAAAATCGGTCAACTGTTATTTGCGAGCTCTGCCTAACATCCTCATATCCGAGCAGAGTCATAGGACTTGGTAGAGTCAAGGGATTTCTATGCATTCGCAGAGATTATTTACAACATGAAACACTTTAAATAAACCGCTTTCGCTAGTTCTAGCCTCTCAATTTTCGCCAGAGTGCGTAGATATAAAAAACACTTAAGTTAAAAAAAAAAAATTTTTTTTTAAGCCGCTTGAACCTCCTGTCAATTTTACCACGTTGATAGCAACTAAAAATGCATAATGTTTCGATAGACCGATATTTTATTTCAGGTTACAATATTGTTTTATTACTTAAAAGTTTGCAAAGACATTAGAAGGTTTTAATAACATTTTTAAGTGAGCAAAAAATGTTATCAAAACATTTTTGTAATTTTTATAAGTTTTTTTGTGTTTATTCGATTTCTAAAAAAGTTGTATAATATAATTTGTTTTGTGTATTCATATTTTTTGTGCCTTTAAATTATAATCAACACTTTGGTTGCCCACACTGTGTTAAGTAATAATATAGGTTAATCTGTACAATTTAACAATTTAAAGGCGATTTGTTTTGTTTTAATGTATTTATAAATAGCTTATAGCCTATTAATAGAAGTACCTGAAAAGCTTCAATTTTTCAGTTCATCAATTTTTAGGCGGTGTTGAAAAATTAAATATTGATTCCGGTTTTTAATGTTATACATTATTATAATACTAACATAGGTAAGGAATGTTTGATATTTTTATTAAAAGATAATTTTTACGTAGTTTCATGGAAATTAAAATTAATTTGTTCTACCACTGTTACATCCCCAATTAGCAAACAACATTTTTTTATACAATTTACAGATATTAGTTTTACAGGTTTTTCTTGATACGTAACTTAAGAGTTTTTTATGTTGGTTAGGAAATATACGAGTTATTAAAAAACAAGGCAATAAATGAATTTATTTCTTACGACTTTGTCTTGGGGTCAAATATTGTTCACTTTTTGAAGATTTGTTATAACTATTGAAGCACACAGAAGGTTAAAAATATAACAAAAATACTGTTTCAGAAGCACGCATATTTGTCGGAATACTTCTAGTTAAAACTTTGTTGCAAATGTTTGTCGTCTTATTATCTCATTATTTTAATAGTTGATGAGCCCTTTGATTAGCAACGGCTATTCTCGCTTCATTGGATTCACCCTAGAAAAAGAAACAATGACCGAAGTATTCATAAGTAGTGTTAATTATATAAATGTATAAATAGGTGAAATCTATAAACTTTATGAAATTTTTAACAGCTTTTTGTAAAAAGTTATTACGTTTTTAAATAAAATATATTCTTCTCTTTTGAGAATGTTATGTATTCGATTGATTCCAATTAACTAATGTTTATACCTGGCTAAGGTTAATATTATTTCGATCACAAGTTGGTAAAAGAAGAGGTGCTAAGTTAGGTAAACCAAATCAGGATATCCGCTTTTCGAACTTAGAAGAGAAAGTTAGAGCCAAAAATTCTGTGAGACTTTTAGGGACTCTCTCTCTCTCTCTCTCAGCTCTCATATAAAACACCACATTCAGAGTAAATAGGCCCTCATGCAAGCTTAAAATAAGAGACATAGACAGCTTAACGAGTAGGGAGGAAGTTGTTGCCGCAATCACGGCAATAATAGGGGAACCCAGCCTGAAATTTTAAGTATGAATGAAAGGCATACACAACTTTGAGCAAAAGCCCGATTTTATGTGTTATCAAGAGAAAATGAAGGCGAAATTTTAAAAGAGTCAAAAATCGATTTCAAGTAAAACGTTTAACGAAGTTATACGCTGCCTTAAACGCTTCGGGGCAGTCTATCTCCAAAGGGCTTGCACGGAACCAGAAAGGAGAGATTTTTGCATCAAAAGCAAAAGCATAACCGGGCATAATGAAAAAATACACAAAAACACTGAGGGACGGATTTACGTATGCACATATGAAAAAGAAGGCTTATCACTTCCCCGGGACAAGTAACTGCATAGCATAATTACCGCAAGGAGGCAACATCTAAGCCTAATAGCAGAACAGATGATCTGCTGTCCCAAATAGAATTTATTCGTTTTGTGGTACAAACAGCGAACAGTACAAATGGAAACAAACTGATTTCTGGCTGAAATTAAAAACTAATTCTTAGCTTTTTGTCCCAGCAGTGAAATAAGTTGCCTCAGCGTTGGTACAACTGATGGAGTACAGTATTATTAGCTATTATCTAATTTTCAATGATAGCATAGACCTTTTCAAAGATAAATTCGACAAAATTGAAGATTAGCAACTCTACAGAAGCCTTATAGTAGCTGGAGACTTTAATTCCGAGCGCATAAAAAGGGCATATCATCGACGAACTCCAGAGGCCAAAATATCTTAAGAATGTCAGAAAGAACTGGACTGGTAGTGACTAGTAAGCGTACAATCCTGAAATTTTTTTTTACCGTCCGTGTCTCACGGCCATACCTCCCGCCCAACCGACCGAGGGGCGCTGCCGTGTATCGTATGGCTTAGTACGTGAGAAAAGAGTCGCGATTTAGAAAAATAAGTAAAGGCCCAGAAAAATGAGGAAGAACACAATAAGATCTTATTATGTGCTAAGAAAGTTAGAAGTGAAGAGCGGCAGAGAGTTAGAAATTGATATAAGAGGTGTTAAGTCATTTCATTTTCATAATTGAAGTCCTACCGAATATAAAAAAAATTTGGCAATATATAAATGTTTAAAAATATTTTTAATATAATTGTTGTGTGGTAACTTTTTGGGACCACCCTAATTGATTTGCACAAGCCGCTGTTTAAGCGCATGTTATAATAGGTTCGTAGATGGAATTGGTATTTTTTGGTTGGGAATAACTTTGACTTGTAATATTTGAATAAAACGCCCGGATAGTTTGAGTTCAATGTTCAGACTGATTCTGTATTTTCTCTTTTGTCAACTCGTTGGTTATTATTCTAACATAAAATGCTGATCTAACGGAAAGTGCTTACTCTATGGATCTAAAGTGGGTCGTATAATTGGAGTAGTTAAGTAGAGTGGATAAGTGGAGCGGATGCTATTGTTTTGATAAGTTCGGAATTCGATGCATTGGTTATTAGTAGGGCGATCGGGTGGCCGCTGAAGTGTTTGCTGAGGCGGCGTGACGATCGGATGGCCTCTTAAATTTTTGCTACGGGTTCCTGACGAGACGGCGTCTATAAAAATCGTGGTGGTTTTGATGGGGGACCGCCGAGGCTAATTGTTGAGGCGGTAACTCCTCCCCCATCAGACTGAACTACCGACCATAACGGAGCGATGGTTGGTGTGAAGGTAGCAGGTGAAGTAATGGTCGATGTGAAGGTGGCAGGTGGATTAATGGTTGGTGTTAACGTCGGAATTGGTGAAGTTGGTGTGAAGGTAGTCGTCCTTTTTGAGAAAATGCCCACGGCCAATATATAGTGGTTCCCATTTGTAGTCTGTTGATTTGTAGTTTCGTTTCTACAAGTATATCTTCCATCTTTAGTTCGTGAATTCCCAGTTCTTGTGTTTTTCAATCTTGTTGATAGTTCCGATGTGTGGTATATCCAAGCCTCTCTGTTGCTTCGTACTGGACGTTATTAATCACAGTTCTGCATTCGTTGAACGTGATTACTGCTGATCCATTTATTGTTCTCTCCAGTCTGTACGCAGTTTTATGGCGAAATGGTTTAATGGCGATATACCCTTCTTCCGGTTCAAAAATCTTGGTTTTGAGCCCAGCATCTCTCGTCTCAAAATCCGTTTCCTTTCCGTTGATCAGTTTTCTTATACAATTTTCATTAACTTGGTTTACAATTTTATCGTTCTTACATATATATAAATTTCTTACTTGCTGACTGTTCGGAGCAGAACCCCTAACTTGTAAACTCTATTCAAAATTCAAAGTCTAACTGATAATGTAACGTAACGTAACGTAATCGTAAAGTTGTTAACCAACACCCGTCTAATTGCAATCGCACCTAACTTTGCTTATCTATTTTCTCTATCTTCATTATCATCACTTCTTTTCGCAACTCTAAACTTATTAGACATACATTCAACTTTCGTTCGTTCTCGCTTCACCCTCGCAATCGTGTATACACAAATTACATAAATTTGTACATAAACTTAAACCAAATAATACTCAGAAACCCAAATACAAAAATCACATCTCATTTAAATCACAAAACATTGGCCTTATTATTAAGTGCATAAAGCGGTAGCAACAGCGGTAGTTGCAGTCCTCTAAACACTGACATTGATTCTTACAGTAGTAGGTTTCTTCATTATTCATTGCCCCATATTCTGGCGTTATTACAAATTCTGTCTTATTCATAGGTAATGCTATTATTCTATGTAGAGAATATGTTCCATTTTTAAAAATTGGTATTTTGGTTGCTTCGTGTTTGTCGAATATAAATTTTGAAACCAATCCCATTTTTGCCAACAATAAACTTTCAGCAACGTCATTTAAGTTTATTCCAAGCATATCTATTGTTACTGAAATCCTGTCTATGTATTCTAACCTATAAATCCTTTTATCCTGTTCTAAAAACGTCTTCAGTCGTTCCCCAGCATTCGTTGAGTAAAGACGTGCACGCAAATTACCTCCCGTACAATCCAAATCTATTCTCCGCTCGTGTGCCATTCTTGCGCACGAAGTTCTACCACTGGTAAACGGTGGCCACTGCTTATCGCAAAAACGGTCATTGACCTGCAAGTCTTAAGCTGTGTTTTGTTTGCCCCCTCGCGCCGCGCGTCGCGCAAGCGAGAGGCTGTTATCAACTTACGTTTTAGACTTCTGTTCGTGTCAAGTGAATATTATTGCATTATACGTTAAAATATAACGTCAATTGATATAATGGATAAGTCATCGGCTCAATCGCAACCTAGCGATAATCTTGAGAGGTTGAGAAGAGCAACTGGGACAGATGCTGGGGAAACTCGGTCCCAAATCCACGCCCACAATGCGGACAAAAATGCCTTACTCGCAGGTATGTCAGCAAAATCACAGATCTCCAGCTCAATGGCAACAATCAGCAGCAACTCCACTACCAGTGTTACTTGCACTGTTACGAATGCCCAAGCAAATTTAACCAGCACCTCTTCGTATACTGTGGCTGCATCTGTTGCCTCTAACATTTGCTCAACTATGTCTTGTGATGACAACACGTCAAAAAGTAAACAATCATCAACGGCGAAGAAGGTATACAAAGAAAAATGCCCATTTCAAGCTGCTGATCGTAATGTGAGCAGAAAACGGAAAGGCGCGACTCAGGTCTCATTTCCGACCCTCACTCCCCCCCCCGACCCGCAAACTTAAACTGCAGACCTCTGTGCCGCCTAATGAGGCACAATCTACTTCCAAAGCAGCGGACTTGGGTAGCAATCGATTTGCAATTCTGGCTGCTCAAGCGGATCAAATGGAACAAGAGCTGTCGGATGCTGACTCAATTAATGCTGCTGACCCTACTAGGCATAATAAATCCTCCAAATCTAAGCCCCCCAGCAATATGTGTACCGAACGTAAGCGACCCGCTTTCCTTGGAGCAGACCCTTAGCCGAAATATTGGTTGCACCAACTTCAATATTCGAACTTCTAAATTTGGTGTATCCAGAATATATACAGCTACCCCTGACGCTTTCCGTTCAGTGGTTGTAGAATTATTAACTCTTAACTGTCAGTTTTGGCATCACCAACTTAAAGAAGAGAAGCCGTATAGAATAGTGGTGAAAGGAATACATGCCAATGTTCCTAAATCACAGATCGAAGAAACATTTTCTGATAACGGCTTTGAAGTCCTAAATATCTACAGGGTGCGCCATCTCGAGCTTCGGTATGAAAATATTGAATAACTTTGGAAAAAAACAAAAATTCATGGAAAATGTTTTATGTTTATTTAGATTGATCCTTTACAATTCATTTGAGATAGTTTTTGAAGGGTCTAGAAAATTTCTGGTTTCAGCAGGACGGGGTCCCATGTCAGACAGCAAACGAAACCATGCAGTTTTTGCAGCAAAATTCCTGGATGCGTTGTGTCAAAAAGAGGCGATATCGACTGGCCGGACTTGACCCCGCCGGATTTCTTTTTGTGGGGTATACATAAGCAAGCCCTAGACCATCACAGAGCTCAAGGAGAGTATTCGCACCGAAATGGCCAATATATCGGTCGATTGCTCAAGAAAATA